CTACTCAAAAGTAATCCAAGGTCGCAAACTAGAGCAGCCTCGCATCCATGAAACGAGTTAAAGCACACCAATGGGCATGCACCCAATTATGTAGTGGATGTTATATGACCCACATGTCCAGCATTTCTAGGCAAAACATACTGCCCACAAAGAAGAAACATGGTAATTCTTCATGGCCTAATCAAGCTTTGCAAAAAGAACCCAAGTTTACAAGAGCAAGTGAAGTTCAAACTCAACGCTCGGTTGCACACGCACCGAGGGAACAGGCGTCAGTCGCGCTCATCCGGTCACAAGCGCTACCAGGCCCAGCTCACAGGACCAGCGCCCCCGCCGCATCCTTGCATCACGCGCCGCCACCTCGCCGGAGCCCCACCGCTAGCCTCCATCTCCTTTGCCGGCGCCAGCCCCCATCTCTCCTCCATGTGGCACAGATGGTGGCACAATTTGAAGAGACGGCGTATAGGAGGTGCGCCCCGAGCTCTCCGCCGCATTACCAGACCACCACCGGTGCGCTTCCTCTGGCCGCATTGGCCATGATCCCTCCATCTCCTCTATTGATTCCCCAACGCTGCCAATGCTCTTTGCTTGAGCTGTTCTCTGTGACTAATTCCGGAGTGGAATTTTGGTTGCAGGCGACCACCTCCGCTGCTGCCTCTGCTGGTACTCCCGTGAAATTACTTTCAATTGAGCAAGAAACAGTAGTGTGGATCAGTGAGAAAGACAGAAACAGTTGTGTGGATCAGTGAGAAAGGCAGAAAAAATAGTGCGGGTCAGCAGTGGAAGGCAAAACAGAGAAAGCAATAGTGTGGATCAGTGAGATCATTCATTTTCCAGAATATCCTAGCTCTCTTCAGATTCAGAGATCTGAATGACTATCATGATATGCCAATATGATCTGAATTCTGAAATGGCATGTTGTTATATGCCAATAGGAGCACCGTCAAAATTCAGTGATCTTGACATTCACTAGGAGTACTTAATTTAAATGACAGGAGTAATTGAAAAAAAATACTGAACTTTGTAGTACCATGCATATGGTTAAAGGACCAGTGCACAACTTAATTTAATTATTACTCCTACTACAGATGCTATATATACCAGCAGTTAAAATAGGTTCAGAGCAGACTTCACATGGAGTGGCAGAGAAGTGGCTCAAAACAGCTCTTTGTTTAACTTATTTGGCCTTCCTAAATGAGTGAAATAAAGTAAACCCAATCAAGAATTTGAGATCAGGATGTCATGATCTCTTGCAGTGGCAACTATAGATCTATCTGATTGATTTACAACTAAATTCTAACCCCTCTGAATTATGAGCCTGAATGCACAGCAAAAAGTACAGCAGGAAGTAGCATCCATATGTTTAAAAAGCAATTCTGCTCTATTTCTGTGTGTATCCATATCCTCAATTCAGCTCTACTCCCATCTCTAGATAAATAACAAAGGAGTAATTTGTGAGTACTGTTATTTCACGCGAGAGGAAAGTCACCATGCCCCATTCTGTCCGGTTCTGCTTCTGAAAGCTAGTTGCTGTTTTTTTATGCATAATCTCTCAGTGTTTACCGACCACGCACACACATCGAATTGTCCAAAGACATTTCCAGCTGAACTCTTGGAGGTTCTCTGCCTTTCACATCTTTTGCAACAGCGACAAAGTAAGAAGAAAGAGGGGATGATGATCTAGCTCACCAGCTCTCCATGAGGACTTGGTCCTGGTTCATGACTCATGAGCGCCAGCGCTGACATGGAGAAGCCGTCCTCGTTGGGGGTGAGGAACTTGTACATGGGCGCAGCATCGTACCGCCGGGAGAGTTAGAAACACAGGTTTAGGGTTTTGCGTGGGTGGTTGACATCCAGCCTCACGTCTCAATATATAGAGGATCATAATTACAATTACATACGTATACAAATACGTGTACAAGGACAATATACTAGACCCTATTTTACATGCCCCCTCAATCTAAACTACATACAAGATTCAGATTGGTTCTAAAACGGTCTAGCATCTGTCTAGTAGCGGGTTTAGTAAATACATCCGCTAACTGATCATCTGTAGAAATAAACCTGACTTCCAGTTCACAAGCAGCTACTCGTTCTCTCACAAAGTGGAAATCAATCTCAATGTGTTTGGTCCGAGCATGAAACACTGGATTCGCCGTCAGGTAAGTTGCCCCTAAGTTATCACACCACAATATAGGAGTGCGCTGCCGTGGGACTCCAAGTTCTGTGAGAACCGAGTCTATCCAAATGGCTTCAGCCGCGCCATTGGCTAATGCCTTATACTCTGGCCTCGGTGCTTGATCTCGAGACTGTGGGTTGCTTCTTCGAGCTCCAAGATACAAGGTTAGGTCCAACAAATATAGCAAAACCACCAGTGGAGCGCCTATCATCAACACAGCCTGCCCAGTCTGCATCGGTGAATATACTCACTCCAGTGAATCTGGACTTACGAATCCGTAGTCCCATGTCTACCGTACCTTTGACATATCTCAGAATACGCTTAACTGCTTCCCAATGATCCACCGTTGGCTGAGACAGGAACTGACACACTTTGTTCACTGCGAAGGAGATATCAGGACGAGTGAGGGTCAAATACTGAAGTGCCCCAACCACACTGCGATACCGAAAGGAGTCATCTCTACCCAGTAGTGCACCACTATGACGTGAGAGACTCTCGGATGTAGCAAGCGAAGTGGAAGTGGCCTTGCAGTTCTCCATGTTGACGCGATGAAGAAGATCTAAAGCATACTTTTTCTGCGTCAAGGTCATGCCCCCTGAATGAAAGGACGCTTCCAAACCAAGAAAGTACTCGAGGCGACCCAAATCTTTGATGGGAAAGCTAGCAGACAACGACTGCACAAGACGATCCACCACGGTGGGGGTAGAGCCAGCAATCACAATATCATCAACGTACACCAGCATGTATATCTGTATAGTACCCTGGGAGAAGATGAACAAAGATGCATCTGATCTGGAGGCAACAAAACCGAGCTGCAAAAGGCGCTGACTCAAACGAGCATACCAGGCACGGGGTGAATGCTTGAGACCATAAATAGACCGTTGAAGTTTGCAGACATGAGAGGGATAAGTGGCATCCTCGAATCCAGGTGGCTGCTGCATGTACACATCTTCGGCCAAGAACCCATGTAAAAAGGCATTGCTCACATCAATCTGTCGGAGGCTCCAGCCACGAGACACAGCAAGAGACAAAACCAAGCGAACCGTGGCAGGCTTCACCACTGGGCTAAAAGTATCTCCGTAGTCAATCCCGTGCTGTTGAGTGAAACCACGAGCAACAAGACGAGCTTTGTGCTTATCAACAGACCCATCCGGACGGTGCTTGGTTTTGAAAATCCACTTGCAGCTCACAATATTAACACCAGGTGGCCGAGGCACCAACACCCAGGTGTTAGTGTGACGGAGAGCAGCAAACTCCTCGGACATGGCTGCACGCCAGGCAGGTTCACCTAGAGCATCACGATGGGAAACCGGCGCGGCGAAGAAGGCGGCCGTCCTTGCCCTCCTCCACCGTGCACGACACCATGCCGTACGAGGCCAGCAGCCGGAGCATGCAGTCCACCATGTCCGCCGCTTCCAGATTCGCCGTGGACGGGAGCTTGGCGGCTACCTCGGCAGGGGTCAACAACTTGCAGCCAGCAGCCATCAGGGTCTCATCAGGGTGTGCTACATGTCATTAAAATAAGAACAAATCAATAGAACTATAACACCAAACTGATTATATGAACCATCCATGATACTGTGACAGAGGTTTTTAAAAGCAAGCCAATAGCATGATGTCACCACGATGTAAGTTTTAAAAAAGCAAACCAAACTGATTACATGCTTCGTGATGTAAGTTTTCAGTTCTTTCCATTCCTCACCACGATTTGCGAAATAATACTTAATTGTGATGCATGAATCTGTGATATGGTCAAGCAGGTGGGGAAATCCAGCTTCTACCAGCGGCAGGAGCAGTATCGCAAGCACGCTCGACGCCAGCAGCTCTGTCTGATACCAAATCCATGCTCCCAAGAATATAGATTATAGAAGTCGTAGGCCTCGCCAGGTGAGTCAAATGTCAAATCCTATGCAGGTTCAACAACATGATCTCCTCGCTTTTCTGGATAACCCCTGATTGTTTTCTCAAGAGCTCCAATTCTATTAGGGCATGGTGTTCTATCAAGCGGTTGCTTACCTATCCGTACCCTGCAAGACAGGAAATGACATTTCATTTATTGGCATTGGCAGGCACACAGGTAACATGCCAACAACAAAATGATTTTCACCACTTTAACTAGAATACGAGTAACACAGGTAACATGCCAACAACAAAAAGATTTTCACCATCTTAACCAAAATACTAGTAAGGACCACACATGCTTCAGCTCAGTACCACAGGACCTAATTAATTCAGGCATCCACATGGCATTATTAAAATTCTGTATGTCACAATTATTTAGCAGTACAGAACTCCCAACCAGAGGTAAATTATGCCTCATGGTGTGCTGCAGTACAGTACCCCAGGTCCTAACCAATTCAGTCATCTGCATGGCATCATCTAATTTCAGCATGTCAAACTTATTTAGTTAATCTATGACAGTGAACTACTAATAAGAACCATTCATGGTATTGAGCCAGGACCATACAACAGACCGGCATCCTATTTATAATCACAGGATTATGAAGAAACCGTGAGCAAGCCAATAGCATGATCTCCAATTATACTAGTTATGATGGTCTAAACAAATTTCAGCAAAAATGATATGTCCAGCTGGTTTACGCCCATTTGCACCACTGGGAGGCATGTGCTTTTACCTTTCAGTCCAGCCTGGAGCTTGAGGGTCGACCTTGCCTGTTGTCTGAACCGAAACTGCAAGCATCACTATCTTCATGGTCTTGAATCACTGCGCCCTGCTCGTCGGTTGCCCTCTTGAATCCTAGTCACAGTACTCCCAGTTCCTCATTGTCTGCTCGATCACCGAGATCCAGGGCCGCCGCCAACATTACTCTTGGCTGTGATGGCTGCCCCGACGAGGCTGAATCCAACCCAATCCTGGACTGCAAGCTGTCAGCAGTAAAATTTGAACAGATCCTTGCAGGTAGCAGGCCTTTACCCAACCTAGGCGCTTCATCTTGCAAATTCCAGCATCCATCAAAGCTTGGTCTCCTTCACCCATCTTAAGCCAGCAAAGGCTCCTAGTTGAGTACAGTGTTGCATCATCTAGGCAGCGGTCTGCTGCCTACATTAACAAACAAACAAAAAGTCACCACATTGGCTTATTAACTGCTATGACCCACATATACTACTGCGCTGTTCTCAGGTACGTACACAAGAAAATTGCCAGGGCAGCTTACCACTAGACTAGAGTTAAGGTGGTAAACTGGGCACTGATTACCTGAGAAATCAAATAATTGATACACGTTAGGATGCTGAAATTAAGACCCATTCATCCAAACAAGAGCTTAATTTGCTCCTCTGTCCTCTCTATCCAACAATTAGTATAATAAGATAAACTATTGACAATTTTCTATAACAGATATACTATTTGACGGCTTTATGCCAGAGTTACAATTGAAATTTTGAAGCAAATCTACAGTGATGTCCTACTGGGTTTTCTGTTACTAATGCAGAAAACCTTAGTAGCGTTGGTACTTAGTCACAGCAGAAATTGCTTTCTGTAACAGCCATGCAGGGGATTTGCATCAATAGACTTTCTAAACATAAATGCAATCCCTATAGAAAGAAAATTAAAACAGCAAAAGAAAAAATAAAGGACGCACATACACTTTGATGTTACTAAATTCTTACTAGAGATTCAAAATAATAGAAAGCACGTCAAATCTCAATTTAAAGCTTTGGTTATCACACAACAGCAAATTAAGTGTAGGCTAACTGGCTAAGATATGGTGCAAGTGCAATAATATACCATAGAGTAAAGTTTGACTGCAGTAGCATAATCGTTTCTCTTATTTGCCTTGCTTTCTTCTAACTTGAGATCAGCTGGATTCATGGTGTTCATGGAGTCATCCTGAAACAGCACACAAATCATTTGGCACAAGTAATGAGGACGTGTGGTAAGGAGATAAGACTTACATACTTACATGAGCTACATCAGAAGGGCATGAGAAAAAATTAAGAAGACAAAATATTTATGATCTGAACATTTTATTGATCCAGTTCACTCATTTATATGACTGCACAATAAACTACTTATTTCACATACCACAGTAAACTTCACATCACATCCTCACACAAGGATTGAGTACCTATTATTAAGTTAAGGGCATGCTGAAGAACCTATAGAAAGCAACTTATATTGGCAGTGATGTCTCAAGGACCAACCGGAATCATTAATGGACTTCTTAGGCTTTGAGGGTGAAAATAATAGATAACTAAGTTTTGCTTAGCCTTAACAAACAGCATGGTTTTGCATTAGTTTCTTAACATAATATTGCTGGAGTGAAAGTTAAAACTTACATCATTACGAACATCAGGATCTGCACCAGCCTCCAGTAAGCACTTGTAGAAGTCAGTTAAGCCATTGTTGGCAGCAATTGTTAAGGGGGTTACAGTGCCAACACCCTTCACCTCAGCGCCAGCCTAACACAAAAAATGTTGCAAAGACACTTCTAAATAAGCATGACATCATTTATACTCCTTCCTTTTTCATATGATACTTATCAAGAGTTCAAAAGATGTCAATGAAATGAGATGAATGCACCATACCTTAATCAGAAGCTTCACACATTTCAGCGAGCCAACATTGAGAGCCACAATAAGAGGTGAATAGGCAGTGTTGAATACCTTGTTACACTGAGAAGAAATATTAAGAAAATCAATACCATTACATGATGAAAGTTCGGGAACATGTTTGATCATCTTTTTATCATTGAAATAGAGATATCTTTGTTAATATGGGCAGTTGACGAAGAGAAAGTAGTACCAGACAAAACAATCATGAATTTACTAATGTGGATCCTGTTAACCTAAGAAGGAAGGGTACATAAACGAGTGACGTACATCTGCATGGTGGTCCAACAAAATCTTCATAGCACCAAGCCACCAACCTGCTTACAGAAAACAGCCATATGCAGTGGTGGCCCAGTATCACACAATGAAACAAACATTGGCCCCTTCTGAGATCAAGGCCTTTACTATTTCACAATTTCCTGAATGAGAAATACAAAGCAGGTTATTTCATAACAATGTGGAGATCCAGCAGGTTATTTGCATAATACATAATATCCAACAGGTTATTTGGCATTGCTGCTGCTGCTGCTGTTATTGTGACAGTACTTTTTGTTAGTGAAAGCCTGTTAATATCATTTTATCATGGGCATATGCGGGAGACAGTTACCTTAGGGATCAAAGTTTCCAAAGCAATATGTACACTTAGCTAGTTGTGTTGGAATACTACCTCCGTTCTCAAAGAAATGACATGCTAGAATGTGTGCAGTGAACTTTAAAAAAAAAACACTTAATTTATACCACCAGCCTACATCAATGACATGTAGAACCAGACCCTACCTGTCATTGACACAACCTGGTTTTGTAGATGAAAGTTGCACCATAAGTAATGGTATGGATGAATATAGTTACTCCACCTGCAGATTTATTAGGATTTTGCACATGAAAATGACCATGGATTTGTCATGAAAAATACTTTCATGTAATAAAACTTTTACTAACAAATTATTATTATGAAACCTAATGGCCAAACATGTTTGACGGAGACCATGTCAATGTCCTCTAAATGGCAAGTAAAAATGAACAGAGACAATAATTAATGAGTATAAATTCTAAAATGTGTTTAAACAATATAGGAACCCACATGGTACCAAATTGTCCAGAAAATAGGAGTGTATAGCCTCACAGTTCTTTGCTAGATATCTTTGCTATATGTAAAGATTGAAATCTGCGGAAGACAATCTAGTGCGAACTACAGCTCCAATGTTAAGAGGTTCATTTTATTATGTTTTTCATGCAACATAAGATCTGGATATGTATTCATTTACCTTAGGAAGTAACTGTGAAATAACTAGGTTGCAAACATCAGGAAAATTATTGCAATGAGAACCAAATAATCAAAGAAGGTACTATACGAATGTGACATCACTCACTTATAAAAGTATAACCAGCAACAGTAACTGTAAATAGTGGCTATAAACAAGTTCATATTTGCTATCTTACAGCTGATAGAGACATAAACAAGGTAACTTCTGGATTTACATAATTGAATAGATGTCAGTGAAATACCCACAACAAGTATGAATAGTGGCTTGAGAGAAATTCATATTTTACTATTTTTTTCTGACACGCAATAAATTATATCACTTCTGAATTTATCTATACTGAATTTATGTCAATGCAGCTCATCTTGAGACAAGGAATACATGATTCATGATACATACACACACGCACATTGATAAATGGCATTTTTTAGACTTAAAAGATAGCAATTAATAAACAACTCATTTGCCACAGAAATATCTCTAAATGCTCAGATGACACTGTCATATCTATGCACATGCACAACCAATTACGACATGGACATTTTCTACCTTCTTACTTATAATGCATATAACATGATCCATTTCAAGTTTCATTACATCACCCCAGAACACACAAACAAAGAATTTGAAGACACAGAGGAACAAGATAAGGACACATAGGGAGAGACCTCCTGAAGCAGACAAATGGAGAGGCGTAGACCCTTTTTCATCGGGCTTATCTGGATTAGCACCGTGATCAAGAAGATACTGGAAAGTGTCCACAGTGCCGGCAATAATGGCATGAGCCAGAGGTGTATAGCCTATCAGGAACATCAAAGAGAAGAAACGGAATAAGAACTAGGAGGACAGAATATGAACATGTAAAGGTTTTGCGATATGAACATGCATCTGTTTCCAGAATACACATACAAACTTTTTACATACAACAGCACATTCAGAAGTCAGAACTAGGAGGACAGAAATTTTAGGTTCCCTTTAAAAGTAATCATACATGAAAATATCTTGGCGCAAGGCACTGACACTTTTCATTTTTAATGATCCACAATAGAATGAATCACCAAAAGATTAAAAAAGGTTAGGCTATAAGCGCCCAAGTCATGTGTACATAATCAAACAAGTGTCATATGACTCCAGTTCAATATGTACATATTATGCAAGTGCCGTGATGCCAAGATACTTTGTTACACAATACAAAGATCAGATACTACAGGTCGTTTAAAAGCCAGAGTGTATTCATAAACAGCATTAAACAAAAAATAATGGAGGAGTTTGGAGTTCATTGTTGATTCATCAAAATAAAAAAGTTCCTGTCCAAACTAAAGCCAGCTATTTTGTGGGGGTACAAGTGCAGAAAAAAAAAGTGAAGCTAGAATCATTTTTCCTAGAAAGCAAACTGGTGCATGGAGAAAAAAACAAGTTGATAGAATTTTCAGGGGTAAAACTGTAAAAGGGGATGGAAGCTAGCATCGATACTCTTTCTACTGAAACAACTCTGTCAAAACAGTATAAGCTGCGTCTGGAATAAATGAACTTCATGAGATTAATGCAAACAAAGGAGTTAGATGTATGTTTCAAAAACAGGGCCAATTGACGAGTTATAAGCCTTAGATTTCTCAACAAAACAAGCTAAATCCAGTCCCATTTTTGGCATAAATTAGTTCAATTCCCGTCCCACTTCAAGGCAAATGCCAGGTAAAAGGGGCATATACAAGCTGACTTTACCTAAAATTTCCCTCCAGTTAAGGTAATCTACAAACCATTTTCTATGATAGTAGTTTGTAGACTGCCAAAACTATAGAAATATGAAACACGGAAACGACAGAAACGGAAGCATGGTTACACATGATTGATTACGCATCGTGCAGACCGCATGAAATTCAACCCAAACTGATAGCCATCCTCATGGTAAGTGATCAGTCCCTCCCATTGCTTGGCGTCAAGGAGGCAGACAACCAAACAGCCAATCCATCACGTCTATCAAGAGGAGATAAACGAGTCATCTACTCTAGTCTAGGGGGGAAGAAAACAAGGGTCTTGCTTTCGTAAGAGGAGGGAGGGAGACCAAGTGCCCACCTGTCTCGTCGGTGGAGCTCCTCGACCAGGTACACGCGCACCGGCATCCTCCCGCGGCGCGTGGCCAAGTGCAGCGCCCCGGCGCCGCGGAGCTTCACGGCCTCCGCCGCATCCCTGAGGCGCCCCTTCCCGCCGTCCAGCGCGCTCGCGGCCCCTGCGTGGTGACACGGACCCATCAAAACTGGAAAAAATCTCCCAAAATCGGCGCTCGATCGAGCACCCAGAAACCAAAATCCGCGGGCGGAGCGGGATGCGAGCGCATACTCTTGAAGAGCTGGAGGTTGCCTTCGGCCGCCGCCTGGAGACGCCGCCGCTGCAGTGCACCGGGACCTGCAGGGGGAGAAGAGGGGTCGGGTGTTAGCGCTGGGGTTCATCCGCAGTTTATCAGGGGCCGGGCATGGGTTTGGGGGAGGAGGTCGCTTACCGGAGGCGAGGGGCGGCGCCATGGCCGCTGCCGGAGAGTGTGTCGGCGGTGGATTGGTGGGAGTTGGTAAGATTTTGGAGCGGGCTGCCTAAGGCCGGGCCGGGCCGGGCTCGCAAAAAACCCACCTTCAAACTCTAAGCCCGAGCCCAGCCCGAAGCCTGATACTTTCCAAGTCCGAGCCCAGCCCAAACACAGGCACGAAACCCAACCCCCGGCCTGAATGACACTTTTCATGCCTCCCGGGCATGCCCCTCCTGAAGGCCAAGCCCGGCCCAAAGTTGGATACTTTTTCAAGCCTAGCCCAAACATACTCCCGAAGCCCGAAAAACCCAACCTGACTGACACTTTCCATGCCTTCGCGTGCACGCCCGGCCCAAACTATATTACGTGCTTGAAAATGAGGCCTGATCTCGTCCCAAATGTCAAGCCCAACTCAGCCCAGCCCAGGTTTTTTACCGGGCTCGGGCCGGGTTGTCGAGCTAGATTGTCTGTCTATCAAGCACCTGGAGAAAAAGTTGACATCTGTAATTTTTTAAATCGTTGCATCCTAAATGAGCTGACATATCTCCTTCCTTTAAAGCCTCATTGGCTGCCATCCTCCCATCACCATCTTGGTCGACATGCCCACCCCTCCCTGTACCCCCTCTTCCCATATGAAGAGCCCCAAGGACCACGCGTCCCTGCCTCCCTCGCTTGGTGGCTGACGGTGGGCCTCACACCATGTTGGCACGCCTACTCAAGACCGTGTTCGTATACAAACGTGATTTGCATCGTATATGCACACCAAAATCAAGTTGTGGCATTAGTTTAATGTATGTCGCAAGTTTTAGCAGCAAACTAACTTTTCGCTCCAAGTTTTAGCGACGGTGGTGTAAATTGACTCTTAATTTAGAGTGCATGGTTTTAATCAAGAATTGGCCCGAGGAGGAAAGGTGCCACGTCACCTTGACTGACCCTACAAATAGGATAATGTTGGCACCCTTAGTGCACAATGATTTCCAACAATTATTCTCAAAGGGAGTAAGTTCCTTGCGAAAAAGCAATGCCGGCTGGAGATGAAGGCAAGGCCTCTGCTACGCTAGCATTAGGACTGAGTGGATTGGTGGGAGTTGATAGGATTTTGGAGCAGGCTGCCTAAAGCCGCGTCGGGCTTGCAAAAAAAAACCTTCAAACTCTAAGTCTGAGCCCAGTCCGAAGCCTGATACTTTTTAAGTCCGAGCCCGGCCCAAAAACCTGGCCTGAATGAGACTTTCCCTGCATCTTGGGCATGCCCCTCCCGAAGGTCGGGCTTGGCCCAAAGCCGGATACTTTTCAAGTCCAAGTCCAAGCCCAGCCCAAGCATACTCCCGAAGCCTAAAAACCCGACCTGG